ATTTTTAACTCTCCACATGGACATTAAAAACCATAGGGTAAGAATAGACCGTAGATAATATCCATAAATTTCATATCCTTGGAAAACTAATGCCGCTAAGTACTGGGAACTTTATGAATACAAATGCCAAATAACTGCCTTGATTTCATTTATCAAGCTATTTCAAGTACTTGTTCCATTAAATATATATTTGATTTCCAACCACCTCAAGTTATGTTACAATTAAACCCCTAAAACTTTCGTTTATAACAATAATTTAAGCTATGCTCTGTTATTTAATAATTTATTTAATACTTAATCACAATATTTTATAATGTATTCATTGAACCCCTTCACAACCAACGACGTACATTGTACGTAGCTGGCATCGGGGCTGTTTAAACAGACTCTGTTTAAACTTGTAAAGCGAACTGTCGGCTTTACAGTAGAAGCGATTCTGGTGACTCAGCTGTCGCCAGATCGCTTCTACGGGCCGGTGAAGGGCCCCCCCCCCTGCTCGACACCCCCGCCGTGTTTCCCGGGCTCCGTTACCCCTCCTACAGACCCGGGAGCGGCTTCTTTGGTGTTGGCGGAAAGCTGGGGAGGAGATGGGCGAACCTCCGTTCGCCGATCCCCTCCCCGTTCTATGAGACCGGGAGCAATGCAGATTGCATCACTTCTGGTCCCGTAGCTGTCAGTGCTGGGCTCCTGAAGCCCAGCTATAAGCTATTGAAATGCGATCTGCACTTCAATAGCTATTTTGGAGTGTAAAGGTGACACTGGGGTCTTTTGGACCCCCAACCTTCAATATTGTAATTGTTGTTGGTCATTGAGTCCACCCATCACTTAAAATGACCAGTGGTATCAATTTTATCATGTGCAAATTGCAATCCAGGTGTTTGGTTAGCATATGACTCTGAAAGAGTAAAGCATTACAGCAAAGTAGTACAACAGTTTCAGGGTAATGTAGGGTTCTTGATATTGTTGTCAGAATACCCTGAAGATATAGGTATATATATAATTTTTTTTTGTAGAAGATCAGTTTATTTTTTTATTTTAAACAATGTTCGAGTTTCACCTAAGGGTAACGATCACTAGGCACACAATTAGCACTCAGCTCTCTCTGGCTACTTCCTGATCATCATGTTTTGGCTCTGTGTGACATTTTACAGGTAAATGTCACAGTGCCACACATTCCTCTTATTTGAGCTGTCTAGCCCAACATCATTTGAAAGCAATAAGTGGCATCGACTGTTCACAGTGTGTAAGAAATGATGGCAAGAGCTCCTTTATCTTCTACATAAAACAATACTGAATGGCCACTTCCCAAAAATACCACCTATTATACAGTTGGATGCAACTTTAAAATGTAAAAATATATTGGTGGAAAATATAATTCCATTTATACAACTGACACGCTAATAGTTGTATTAGATGTTACCCAAGTAACTGCTGTACATTGTATTCACCTAGCATGTCCATGCCTGGGACACACAGTAAGTATAATTACTACATTGGTAATTTTAAGTTGCTAGCCCTAGAGACAAAATATAGGGAATCACATGGATATGCATGTAACTGGTACTCCAGCACATAGTATCACAATAGCCCAATGCTAACTGATGCATTAAAACAGGAAATGCAATTCTCCTGGTCGATAACCACACACAATTGCATTGATCTGTGTATAAATGTACTCTGATGAAGTTCCAGGAGGAGCAAACACATCAGCAAGCAGGGAGAGGAACACTCAAATATGGGAGAACAGGGACAGACTTGTGAAGCATTGATGCATAGATTTGTGTGTCTGTAAAAAATTAATCAAGGCAACTGGACTTGCTGTATTTTTCTTGAAGACATTTCACTGGTCATCCGACCAGATTTCTCAATTTCTGAATTAAGAAAGCTGATGGGATGACCGGTGAAACGTCTTCAAGAAAAATACAGCAAGTCCAGTTGTCTTGATTTATCTTTTACAGGTATACCATGACTTGGATGAATGAGAACCTTCACAGACATAGATTGTGTGGTACACTACCTAAGGTGTAGTACACTACCTAAGGTGTAGTAGTAGTAAATGTTCACTTGGTTTGCTTGCATTTGAATATCAATTTCATATACAGTATATGGGAAATTTCCTTCTAATAGATGCACAAAAAGGCAGCTGATGATGTATTGCTTGCATGTTTTTTTCTATGCTAAGAACTGTCAGCTATAAGTATGTCACTGCAGCTCCAGCCTTAGACATGACTATGAATGGGAATCAGTCTGATCCAGAGTGAATTGCACATATTTCCATGTGAGAGGATTATTCCATGCTGTGCACGTGTGCAGGACACATTACTCCGTCTCTGTATCAGCTGATTAGAGGTGCTTCAAGTCAATTCATCCATCTGGATAATATGTACACTATATCTATACAGACTCTATTGCAGAAACCTTGGTGTAGAAATCCTCCCTTCCATGCGGTTGTGTGTGGTTATTAACTAGAAAGACTGCAATTCTGGTTTATTGCACAGTCATGGTTGGGCTATTGTGGTACTATGCATTGGCGTGCCAGTTACATGCATATCCACATGCTTCACCATATTTTGTCTCTATGGCTAACTACTTATTATTGTCAAGTATAGGAATTTTACTTACTGTGTGTCTGAGGCTAGGTTAATGGACTTTTTAAATGCTTTATTTATTAAAGGCAAGGTAGGAAAACATCAGGCATTTAGCCACATACAAATATTTCTACATATAGCCAAAGCCAAATACAATGAGTTACAGAAAAGTGGCAAAAGGAGCGAATAGTAATGCACATCCAATTTACCAGCGTGATCTGATATTTTCGCTCAACGCCTTAACATTTTTCAAAATGTTAACACGAATAGAACAGATATAAAAGAACAAAGGACAACATGTCCTAAACACATAGGGGGTTATTCACAAAGCTGCCGTAAGCAGCCAAGGGATTAACCGACCCGAAGTAAAGTGAGCCGAACGCTGTTCGGCTATTCACTTCAGGCTTGTACAGCTGATTTCAGCCGTACACCGACTGAAATCAGCCGTACATCGGCTTGCTGCGGCTGGCTTCGGGTCAGCCAAACATGCTGCGCACGAGTGCAGAAGGAGTTCAACACCTGGATCGGCTGAGCCGAACCTCCGGCAGGCTACTCGCTGCTGTTCAGCCTATTCTCATAGAGGCCGAACAGCAGTGAGTGAATAGCCGAATGCTGCCGAGTCGAAAACAAAATAGATAATGATTGTGACAGTGACAGCAGTGACAGCTAGCTCCCCCAACTGTTTTCTATTGGCCGGGACCAGCTGTCATTACAATGAGAGCTTGTCGGAGCCGGCGGGGATATGAAAGCCGACTCTGCTAAGCTCTCATCCTAATGACAGAACAGCTCCACTGGGTTCTGTGTGTAATGACAGAATGGCGTCCCTGGTTACTTAGTAACCAGGGAAGCTGATCTGTCTCTGCAAGTGGCCGTTCGGCCAGCTTTGAATTTCACCTGGGCTCAGTCGAGCCGAAGCACATGTCTTCGGATCGACTGAGCCCCTCGGCCAACTTCGGGGACTGTACGGGCTATAGTGAATAGCCCGTACAGCAGCCCGTCGGTTCTACTGAACCGAAGGGGTCCTAGGGCCAAAGCTAGCCGAAGCTATGGCTAGATCCTTTGGCAGCTTTGTGAATAACCCCCATAGTGAGAGTACCTTAGCATATAAATGGAAAAATAAGCTGCAAAAACCAAGAGATGACATAACAAAACTGAGACAAAAAACAAGAGAGACAGGAAGCACGTTAGAGGAGAAAAAGGAGCAATATCCTTCTCTTGACAACCCACCCCAGGGGTGGAGCAGGGTCTCCTCCAAGCTGTATCAAGAAAGGAAGGTTACTGTATTTAAAGCAGTTTCATAATACAAAGTAACTGCTTTACAAAACATTGAAACATTTTATACTGTTATTAGTGTGTCTGTTCTGTAGATTAAATTATGTCAACTGAAACATTATATTAAAAGTGTCAGTTCTAATTATGTGGGGTGGGTTGAGCAAGATAGGGAATTAGTTAATAAAGGTGTTTTTTTAAATAATATTGTGTGTGTGGAATACCTTGCATTGATTCTTGTTTCTCTTTTTTGCTGATCTCCTTTTATTGTGCTTATATCTGCATAGTTTTAATAGTTAAGTGGTACAATAGTTGTGGTTATATTTCCTGTTTACTGATTCAGGTATCATTGCATTATGAAGACAATTACAAGCAAGTAAGGAAACCATAACCATTGTATATTCAAGTGGATAGTTGACAGTATTGTTGCGTATAATAAAGGATAACTGTATAGATAGATACAATTAAAGGAGAACTATGGGGTCAGTGTTTTTCCCCATAGTTCTCCTTAGGGTAACGGGAGGACACAAACTAGCATCCTCCCGTTACCCTAAGCTCAGTATACCGCGAGCTACCGCGAGCTACAGCTCGCGGTATACTGAGACGCCGCAGCCGGAGCGGATCCCGACTTAGATGACGGGATCCGCCCAGCTGCGTGAGTGACAGCTGGCTCTGCCTATCTAGAGGCAGAGCCAGCTGTACCCGCCCCCTCCCCCGTCCATTCCGCCAGTCAGCGCTGGCAGATCGGAGCGGGGAGAGGGGAATCCAGCCCCTCCCCCTGTCACGGCAGAGAGCCGTGACAGGATCGAGAAGCGAGCGAACCCGGTATGTGTTCGCTCACCTCCCGATCTACTGAGCTGACCTGTGACAGTCTCATTGTCACAGGTCGGCTAGAACTATGAGGTGAGTGAAAAGCACTCACCTCATAGTTCTCCTTTAGGCTCATTCAATACACAAGAAGTAATCAGAATGAAAGAAAAAGAAATGCTCACAAAAGATGTTCACCTAGCAGGTTTGCACAGCTGAGCATCAATCCTTCCCCCTTGTTCCATTGTCAAAGATTTGTTCCTGCATCATCTTTCTTCATCATCATTGTGCAAAAAGGAGCATCATCTAAACTGCCCCAATCTCTTTTTACACCAGAAATTCGAGAAGCCTTCCATGTGTTGGACCGAGATGGGAATGGTTTTATTTCAAAACAAGAGCTTGGCATGGCAATGCGATCGTTGGGTTACATGCCTAGTGAAGTTGAGTTAGCCATCATCATGCAACGCCTTGACATGGATGGTAAGTAACTGAAATACAAATTGAGTACAACGTTAATCTTTCTCTCTAAAAAAAAAATAGAGAAAATTGACCACTTTTTAGAATTTTCAGCAATGTCTTCTTTAAATACTTTATTTTTAAACTGACAGTCTAATGAACATATTTTGGCCTATGTTAGTATCCTTTACACCAGGGGTGGCAAACTCCGGCCCTCCAGCTGTTGTGGAACCACAAGTCCTTTGAGGCTTTGCAAGATTCTCACAGCCACGGGCACGACTCGCAGAGGCAGATGCATCATGGGATTTGTAGTTTCACCACAGCTGGAGGGCCTGAGTTTGCCACCCCTGCTTTACACCATACCATATCACAACACAGTGTGCTACAATACACACATTTTGGTGCATTAAGGCATGTTGTGTTAGGTAGACAGTTAACTTTGAATGTGCGGTCAAGAAACATCAACACAAAAAGTAAATGTCCTTCATGATTTTTCAAAAGGCAGCACACCATTATAACCAGAAGACCCTGATTTAGAAGAAGTAAAGCATATTATCTTATTTTCACTTAGTTTAGAGTATACATACTTTACTCCTTCAGTAAACCATTTGTTTATGCTGTGGTGTGCTATATTGTAGGTATGTTTCTTTTTTTTTTTTTAAATCTTTATTTATAATTTTATCTTTATACATTCAAAAACATATACATGTCCACACAAACAAACGTAAGAAAAAGAAGATAATTTCCTGAATTACCAATATCACATAACATATATATATATAAGACTGACTCCATAGATCATAAATCCAGCAAAAAGCCTCAACCAAAAATAAATCATTGGATACCCTCTTAATAAAAAACCATATTGCCATATTCCAAAACCCTCCCCCAAAATTCCCACCCTAAAGGTTCATCGACCTATAATCAATCCAAATATCCCATTTACTGAGGAACTCGTCATGATTCTCTCTACCCATTGCTATCCACTTTTCAGATTCCATAATACAATTAACCTGTCTTACCCAGTCTGATCTTGTAGGTACCTTTTGGCTCTTCCAAAATCTCGGTATTAACCTCTTTACTGCATTTAGGAGTGTAGGTATGTTTCAGTGCACTGTAGATGTGTGTTGGAGTGCAATTGAGGAGTAATGGAAATGCATAGCAACTTATACAGTGTGTTGACATACAATAATATGTGCTGAGGCAAGAACAACCCCTAATAAGAAAGTAACCAGTAGAAAACTAAATAATAAGAATGAAAACTTTACGGTTCTTACTACAGTATCCTAAAATCCATTAGTTATTATGAATTATTACGTTTTGCACAGGTGTTGCATTTTGCACTGCCTAAGCTTGTAAATTGCAATATTATACTTTTTAATAGATTATTGAAGGAGTTAAATCATTTTACCTCAAATATTTTTTTAGACCTTTGAGTTTTTGCATGCACTTGTAAATGAACTTTCTTAACTAAAAGTCTCAAATTCATGTTAAACATCCTTATCTTTGTGGATAGTGAACAGTATTACAGGATATGTAAACTACAATGTTCTATAGCTATGGAGCTAAAGAGATATTTTTAGATTTAAACTTAGACAAATGAGTTTCTGCAAATTTTTTTTTTTTAAATTTTGGATCATTACAATTGAGAAATTAGACTCTTTTTGATCAATTTGCAAGCATTTGGTGTTTAATAAGCCTGTTGGTCCATTTACTGTCTGCAATAGTGTTTATGATTAGTATTGCTCATTTTGATTCAGAAGGAAGAAGAAAAATGACAGAATCGCCCGTGACCTTTTTCATTCTAAAACTATAATATGTGCACCTTTTAACTTGGAAACATAGTTGGTGCTCAGATTTAGTACTAAAGGCCACCACAGCGCATGTTTTTTAATTATCTTCACAGACTTCCAGGTGAAATGAATAGTGTCATTCTCACAGGCAATTTTAATCCCTTTACCACTTGTTGACCTTTTTATTGGTAAAACAAGGATTTCAGTGTAGAACAAATGATGTGTTTGCCAACAAGAAGTTAAATCTTTCAGTAGCGTGAGAATAAAATTGTCTGTGTACCCCAGGCTTTAGGCTAGTGCTACACTGGTAGTTAAATCTCTTTACAGAAGTCAACAGAAGTCAAGTTTTGAGACTCCCCATTTCCTCTTCTCCTCAAACAGCTTCAGGAGGGAGTGCTCACTGCTGCACTAAATATGCTTAGAGGAAGTGGGTTCAATGACTCTGCCTGTCATTTAACCCAAAAGATGTAGTGGTGGAATAGAAATACTGTGGGGCAGCTTCAACATGATGATGAGTATTGCAGCAAAAGCTGATTTTGATCTATTTTAGCGTTTAATGAACTATTAATTTCTAGGGTGCTGGATCTTTTTTTTATCTACTCATTGGAAATCTCCTCATCTACAACACAGCACATCATTGAAATCTATGTGTTGCTATTGACATAAATGTGAAGAAGGAGGAATTTCCCCTGCCAACTTTTTTTTTCCAGACAGCCAGCACCTGCTTCCATCTGAATACCGAAAAAGAGACTGCATTTGGTTGCATACAATTGCTGTTCAGCTGACAATTTTCCACCCAGTTCAGTTTTTTTAGTTGAAGTTTGTAGGGCTGGGTGGTGTCGACAGGACCACCCACAGCTCGAATTTAGGCTGATTCAGCAGAAACCGGCCAGAATTCAAGTTGTAAATGGCTGTCTTCACAAACATTTCTAATTAATGCAACCCTGCCCTTATTTGATAGAGGGGAACATGGTCTCCTTTGAGCACTGGTGACTGATCTAGGAGGTAAAAGAATTTTCAGTGCATTCAACTTAGAATAACAAATTACTGAAATAAGAAGACTAACATGACAAAAGCTGTATTTTACACGGACATTCTTTTACATTTTTGATCTGATTCTGTGTCTATATAGTTTCTAAATGCTATTCCAAGGAGAGATAGTTGTGGTCTGTAATTTATCTCACAAATGCCACTGCCTGACAACTACTTGCATTTTGAAACTAAGGCCGCATGCTAACTAGTGATATATTGCTTAGAATGCCAGTGTATAATGAATTCCCTAACCATATTATCTCTATGCATGCTAAATGTACAATGATTCATGAATACAGTGCTGCATAAGTCCGATGAATCTTTGTAATGTATAAAAAAACAAAAGAAAAACTTCTTGAGAACAGAAATTTAGATTAGGGTTTAATCCATAGAAAACCGAAAGAGATGGGGGGCATTTGCAATGCTTAAAAGGATGTGGCTTCTCATGAGTGGACATGGCTCAATAGTCAATGTTAAACCAGTGTGGGTTAGTCATAATGATATGTGAATATGGTAACAAAAAAAAAAAAGAGCTAAGTAGGATAAAAAAGTAAGATAGCTTAAAACCTCTGTCTCCAATTTTTTTCTGGATTTGTCCTGTTTATAATGCAGAATGTGGAAACTACAAAGGGAAACAGCTTGCTATGCAGAGTACCAAAACTGAACACCATGCATAGGAATTTAAAAAAAACCAAGCAGTGTTAATACAAACCAAACAGATTGAAAACTGAAATGTTTGCAACCCTAAACTAGGTAGTGTTTTTCTGACATTTTAGGAATGCCGATTGACAAAATGCAGCAGAATCACCATTCTTCTTGAAAGAACAGTCGGTCTGCCAGTTTGAAATTTAGGCAGATCATTGTGCTTTCTTGCTAGGGGTGTCTGTAAAACCTCCTCTACCACATATCAATATCTGACTGGTGAAAGATTGTTCCCACAAATGATCATTTTATTAACATTTAAAAAAAAACATTCACAAATTGTTATATAAATATGCATGTTTGCTTGGTATTGCCAGGCATATTTATGGAACAATCATTTATAGAAAACACTGTTCTATATTTAGTTTAAAAGGCATAAAATTGTACAGTATGTCAAACATCCACATAACCTCTCTGTTGTAGGGCAGGAAAAAAAAAACACTTTGGTGTACATGGGCTCCATGTATTAAACTGGAGAAAAATGTATGTATACAAATAATTCTAATACCTCCTTTAATGCTAAACATCCTATACCAAAAAACTATGTGCTGTGCTGTCATTCTCCAGACTGGATGGACAGAAATACAAATCCATTGGCAGGTAGTACAGCTCTCATATATGGATTTCATAAGTGTATTTATCTCTTTGCCTGGATCTTATTTTTAAATACACTTCATTGCAGCTAGGCTGCCTCAGATATTTAATCAGCAACCACACCTGGGTAGCTACCTGGGTTTGTAATCATGTCAGAGCACTGAAAGCATGCCTTAAAGGTAGTACAAAACACTATTTTGTCATAAGTTAGGGATATGAGCAGCTGAACAATTACAGGGTCTTCTATCATTCTCTGCATTTAAATGAACCTGTAAGTATAGTGATATGGCTACGTCCATTGCTAACTTGTTTTTAAAATGGTAAGGCTCAGTGCATGTTATCCTGGTCCTGGTTTTACTCCCTAGTGACCTGAAACAAATATTAAGAATGGGAGTTGATAAGTTTCAGAATGGCTGCATGCTTGTCTCTGGTCAGTGACTGCCTAGAAAGGAAACTAGGATAAGGATAACAGGTATAGTACCTGTACCTTTAACAACTACAGTAGTCAGTAATGGCAACTTCTATATTTCTTTCCCCACAGGTTTCCTTTAAGAAAATAACTACAACTCACTCGCTTCCATAATATACAATACATTCATAGCTGGAAGACATAGTTTTCATATGTTTATGTAGCAGATTTTTCACTAGATTTTGTATTGATTCAGAAAATGCTAAAAGATTTGAAAGCCTCAATGAACAAGGCAGTACACAGGGTAATGGTACTTAACAAAGTCCAGTAATCAATAGCACCCAATCAGATTTAATATTACTAGAGCCAGATCAGTGAAATTGAACTGTGAAATGTTGTGGGTTACTGTACTTTTCTCATACATCTTTCCTTATTAAATATGCTTATGCTGTTTTATTTTGGAATGGTAAAGTTCCCAACAATAGAATGTGAAC